TCCTTATACCATATGAGAACACAGCTAGAAAGGACCATCCATGAGCCAGGAAGTGAGCCCTCACAATACATTGAATCTGCCAATGCGTTGATCTTGAAATTCCCAACCTCCAGACTGTGAGAAATAAATGTCTGTTGTTTAAAAGCCACCCAGTTTATGGAATTTGGTTATAGCAGCCTAACAGACTAACACCTTCGCCTACCCAGTTTAGAAATCCGTACTGCTTATACTTACAGAATATATATATATATATATATATATATATATATACACACACACACACACACACACACACACACACACACACACACAATGTTTTTCTGTACCGTTGGATGTTCTGAGTGTGTTATTTATATAGTTGATTGGTACTAACAATGAATAATATATAATAATAATAAAATACAATATTTGGCATGTAACCTAATAATAGAAACTCAGACTTAGTAGTAAAAACATAAAAATGGACAGATGGATTTATTTTTTTAAAAAGAATGCTATTCACTGCCTTAACCCATCTATGTGATATATAATATTTATACAGTACTAACCTCTAAAGTAATGGGAAAAAAATTATCAGCAGCCATATATATATATACCAAATCAAAGCAACCTTTGTTACTAACTGAATGAGGTGGTGTAAATGGACAGCCGTTATGCTGTAATGGACAAAACCCTGGAATCTAGAACTTGTTTGCCTGGATTTAAGCTTTATAAATAAAAAAATATATAAATAAGGTTTATTCAAATATATACATGTATTTCTTATACAATTGCATATATAGTGTATTACAGTATTTCCAAAGTAATAAGACCAGCGTACTTCTGGGGGAACTCTGGTTTATTTGGGCTTCAATAGGACTGCTTTAGCAAGACATACTGAAAAACATATTTTTTTCATTGATTCTGAGAACGAGTCATGATTTCTTGCTTGGCTATGTGCAAATATTTTCTAAAAACTATGAATTTAAGAAATTCAGCATTTAAGTCTGATAGGTTGCAACCATACTCACTCTTTTAAAAGTGAGTGATTGATATGATTTTCAGCATGTTAATTTTGAGCCATGATTGGTTTGGCTGTGTCCCCACCCAAAATCTCATCTTGAAATGTAATGCCCAGAATCTCCATGTGTCAAGGGCAGGAGAGCCAGTATGCTGTAAATGGACAGCCAGTATGTTGTAATGGACAAAAGCCTGGAATCTAGCCCTTGTTTGCCTGGATTTAAGCTTCAACTCTGCCACTATTAGGTGTATGACCTCAGGCACAATGCAAAGACTCTCTGTGTGTTGGTTTCCTTATTAGTATCTTGGAGGTAATAACCATACCTACCTCATTAAATGAAATAATACCTTAAAAAACACTTAGAATAAGACCAGGAGTTATAACTGCTTAAAGACATGAAGAGCAGGAGAGATTTAGACCAGATATGTTTGGTATATTCATTAAAAACTGAAAGAAATAAGTCTTCCTGTTATAAACGTTTCATTCTTTTTGATTTGTAGTGCAACTCCATGAAGACCAGTTAGTAGCAGCTGTACCTTTGCAAGGTGTGACTGGGAACTGAACTCAGCACCCATCTCATCTCAGCACCGACCTCTTGCCTTGGCCCCGTTTACTGACTCCACCTCCAAGTGTTTCTCCTCATTACTTTTTCAGTCAGGACACAGGTAATTAATTTAATATTCTATTCGAGGTTTATTACATAGCATTCAAATTAGAGACACTCAGTAGATGCTGCTAGTGAAATAGATGCTCTTAGCATAAAAAGTTTGCTGCTTGTTATTTACTTAATATCTGGGGTGACAACACAAGCATGAGGAAAACTTATAATTTTCCCCGTTCACACATTTTCCTAGTATGTTCTTTTGCACAAATTTCCTTTTCTGGTCTTTATGCAAAAAAGCAAATAAGTAATAAACATGGGTATAGTTAATACGTTATAAAAAGAGGGAGATTTTTGCTACTAAAAATTGTATTAATGGGACAAATGAACAGTGTTTGATAATGTATAAATATATTATGAATAAACATACTGTATGATATATCAAATTTTAATTTTATTTTTATAATTAGTAAAATTTAAAATATTTTTAAATTATTGGTGGAATTCTGTCTATATAAATTGAATATGTCAAGTGTTTATATACATGTTTTACATAGTGTTGAAAATAGATAATCAGTTCTACAAAGAAAGCTTCTAGAGTAACATAGAGGTCATCTAGGATAAGAAAAACATTTCTGAAAATTGAGGTGTCAGTTTTAGTTGGACAATTGCCTAGAATTTTCCTGAGACCTAAGATCGGCTCAGATATGCAAAGGCTAGTTGATAAAATCGTACTCATCAGAGAACATATGGCATTGTGACCTTAATTTTTATTTTCCAAAAGCATGAGGACAGGGGAAAGCAGACAGCCATGTCAAGGGTGAAACTTTTCATCTTGTATTGTCAGAGGTGACAATCTGCTTGTAATTTAATTTTTATTTCTTAGCACTATAAAATCACAACTATGGACATCAAATTTTAGATATTAACAATGTGTTTGAAAAACTATCTGTTAGTGCTGTTAGTATGTTTCTTTTTTTCTTCTATGTAATTCTAAAATAATATAGGATTTTTTTCTCTATTACTTACAAAATGAACAAAACCAACTCCTTTTTTTCAACAGGTTTTCTCTTGAAATATCTATACCTAGGGAACATTGCCACAAAAAAAGTTGGTTACTACTTAACTTTCCAGCAATTTTCCCCCAAATAAATACCGTAGAATGAATTTTCATCAAAGCACTTCATGCATAATATATAAGTTGAACAATTAATTTCTTCCTTTGGTAATAGAAAATTACCCTGGGAGGGTCAGGGTGAGGAGGCAGTAAGTAACACAAAGATAATTATTGCCCTGAATTAATTCACTTTCTTCTCTCTTCTTCTCCATATTAATTCTGGTACTTGAGTAAAAGAGGCCTCGTGTGTGTTCTGCACATGTACCCCAGAACTTAAAGTACAATTATAATAATAAAAATGAGGCTCTGAAAAAAAGGGATAGGTCTATAAACCTAACTAATGTAAAAATTAATAATATAATGATTCTTGTTTTTACAATAATGACAACTGGTAAAAATGTTAAGTATTTGCTATACATTTGGTAAAATTCTGTATTCCTTAATATAAGTTACTTTCTACAAGAATCCTATGACTTATGTAGTGTTAATATCCCCATTGCACAGATGAAGCAAGGGAAATGATTCTAAATAACTTATTCAGGGTTACACAGCAAATAATGTCAGCAACAAAAAATTAATCAAAATGAACTGCATAGGCTACTTGCTTTCTTTCACTAGCGTACCAACTAGGTAATATTAGGAAATGTTTAACTTTACCACATGTGAATACTATACATCAACTTTTCTCCCTTTTACAAACAAAACATTGTACTATTTCTACCTCCATATAATCATAAAAATATTGTAGTTTTAATGTTCAGCCTTATTCGTAGCTGAGATAAATCACTTAGCACTGTGGAAATCAATAGGAAATAGATTTTAAATATTAAAATGAATAAATACAAGGGAACTGCATGAAATAGAGCTGTGTAAATTATTTTAATATGCAACCAGCTGTTGTAAGGACACTATAAATTATATTTACTTTTTCTATTTTGCTTATGGTTTATATTTTAAAAAATGAATTTCAAATTATTTAAACTACATGAAATACCAAATTGATTTACTATGTTTCCAGCCTATTAGTATGTAATTTGGTGGGAATCATCATGAAAATTGATTCTTTTATTCCGTTGGAGACATATTTGCATTGGTTTTACTGATGCCCACCTTAGCCAAATATCAGTTTCCACAGCTTCTTGTCACTTTAAAATATCTTTTAAAATCTATTCTATTTACCAACGACCTTTCTCACATCTAGTATATGATCTATCTGATCTATCTCCTAACTTTTCCCAGAGGAGCAGACAGACCTCTGCTGCTTCTGATCCTCTGAGGTCTGGGCAGGAAGGTAGATGAAAGAAGGGCACAGTAAATATTCTGGTGCCATCATAACCTCACAGCCAGTGACCACTGTGACCACAGGCATCTGAAGGCTGGTCCTCTGTCATGGGGCACATGCATGAACGATTCAGACACAGCTCAAAGACATGAGATCTCTGTTCTTCCTTCACTTGTGTGATGTATTATTTGGATGACTATCTTAAGCTCCCTCTCACCTCCATCTGTGCACAATTTTTACAGCTGTAGTCCCTTAAACTATGAAAAACTCGTTCAGCTTCACTCTGTCAAAGGCTGGGAACAGCACTTCCTAGTTATTACCTTCTTCTGTTTCTGGTATTTCAGATGGATTGGCCAGCCAGCTTCAGAACTCTCTAGGAATAAAAGGGCAGCAAAAATTTCTAATAGGTCTCAAGGAACTACTTGCGATTGAGATGCTAGTTTCTGTTCTTCCAGGAAATCACAATTTCCGTAGGTAGACAGATTTGAATATGTAAAAAGTCACATATTCCTTTCCTCCATTTATCTGTCTACTTAGTCTCCCTGTCTTTCTTTTGCTATCAAATACCAAAGAATATACAAAGTCTTAAAGCCACCTTGCAGGTTTTGAGTAGCCCTGAGAGCTCTGTTATGCATCTGTTACCAAGTTCTACTTTAAAATATGAAGTAGGATTCTTACGCATGATGCATAAGTTCATATTTCTTACACTTTGTGAAAATTTATTCAAATGAGACTTTCTATGGCCATCATTAAATAACCTGTTTTGGTTGAACAGTATAACTTCATCAACTGTTTTTTCCTCCAGGTATATCAAAGATAAATGCCAAAATCATGTAATTTTTAGAAAGATTTTGAAAAATCTTTACTGTATCCAGTAACTACTCAGCACTAACCCATTTTGAAAAACACATTAATTCCACGTTAATAACCTGTAAAAATAATCAATGGAAACCAAAAGAACTTCTACAAATGACTAAGTAAAATAGATTGGATTCATTACTACATTCATTCCAGAAATATTTATTGGTCACTTTCTATGTGGTATAAACATTTTGGAAAATGAGAAAGGAACAAAACTGACAATTTCCTGCCCACTGAAGGTTATAATTGAATAAGGAATAAAGACAACAATAATACCAGGTAGCTGAGTAATTTAATACAAAGCAAGACAAAGCCAGAGTCGCTGGAAGCCGCAGTGGTCTTTCTAAGGAAGTTGCAGCTGATCACAGACCTGAATGAAGTGAGGTAACAGAACATAGAAGTGTCTAAAGGAAGACTGCTTTAGTAACTGAGGTGGAGAGAGGAAAAGGGAGAAACTGCAGAAGTAAGTAGGGATGGGAAAGTTCATGACTTATGGGGAATGTGAGGAAGTTAATTTTTATTGTCATTGTGCTGTGGAGATCACCCAGAGTTGGGAAAGAAACAGACCATGTGTTCCAACAGAATAACATCAGGTGTTGTTATAATAGTCCATTGTTGTTTATTGAGCAGTTACATTTTGTCAGGCACTGTTGGTGCTGCTGGTTTTACGTTATCTTATTATTAATTCTTCATAACAACCATGTGAAATAGGTTGGTTGAACCTCATTTTACAGATTACAAAGTGAGGTCTGGAAAGACTAATAAGTTTAGCAAATATTATATGTTCGTTTAATTGAAAGCAACTAATTTAAACACAGGTCTGTTAGGCTCACGCACAAGCACTGGTCTTAATTTTCTTATATTTAACATTAACAATTTAAAGCTTACATACAAAGCTGTGAGTCAAACTGAGGGGGATAATTAAGTACTGTGGGTATTACTGGGAAGCTGTGCTATTTTCATAAATATTTTAGACTTTATTAAAGTTTACAAAAGTAAATTCTTAATGTAATGCTGTTAGCTTAAGAGGTGTGTTCTTGCAACACTCATGTGACTGGAAAAAACATAAAATAGTTCTTGAAAATATTACAAGGTATAATTTCTAGAAAGTTGCAACTTCTCTACTAAAATCAGTATCTTTTGATGTGGTTAAAAGGAACATATTTTAGACTACCAAACAGATGTGAAATTGTGTCTGTGCTTTTCCTGTGTATCTTATGATTGGCAATCTTATCATCAACTCAACCAGGATCTAGATTAATATATCTTTTTCCTGTCACTGGACACAAATGTTAAAACTATTTGTATAGGTATTCCATTAATATGCATTTTAATGAGTTGTTCATCCAAATTTATTCATTGTTTATAAGACTTTTATTCATATAAAAGTTCTGTGATCCCCAGAAAGTCTTATTTCCTTTTAATAGTCTATATTCCACGGATTACTCCATCTGTTGTGTATCATAATTTCTAGTTTTCTGCCAAGAACACTCAGCATTCTTTTTTACATTTTCAATTTTCATGTCAATATGATAGAAATATAAATGTTCTTTCAATTTGTACATTTCTATTTGACTTGCAAATTTTTGCTCTTTTAAATTTTCTCTTGTTTGGTATTTTTACTCTTTCCAAAGTAAATAATGATGTCAATGCATAAGGGTTAACTACATCTTATGTGTTCTCATCTACTTTTAAAATCTTCCTAAATTATTTTACTTGAAATCTGATTTTGTCATGCTTTTGTGAAGTGATCATATTTGTGTCACCAACCTAATGATGCCTGTTTCAGATTGATGAAAAACTTTCTTTATCATGTGATATAGATGTTTAAATTTCAAAGTACCAAGAAAAAATATAACCATGTAACTACTCCATCCATAGTTCAAAATTACTCAAATTATTTGATTTAAACACATATGGCCAATTTGGTTCAGCTCAGTTTCACATGCTATTAATAAAAAATTGATCATATGAATCAATTTTAAGAACTTTGTATTTAACACTCTCTTCTTGTTCAAACTATAAATTTTGAAGTCCACCTTGATTTCGATATAATAATAAAGATCATTCTTAAAAGGTCGATTAAAATTAAAGTGTTTTATTATCTTGTTATCTAATGTTACCATAAAGCTGTATGCCCAACAGCTTAGCATTGATTTCCTTAAGGCTACAATAAACACATCTATAGCACCTAATTTTATATTCAGAAATATAAAAATGACACTGAAGCATCAGTCATTTTCTGAGCTCTTAACAGAAAAGGAAATACTGAGAATTGAGTGATGTTTTATTCTTTTACTTGTAACAGTCAATTCAGTTGATCATAATAGAGTTAATAGTAATTGAAGTATGAATCCAGTATTCCTTTAACTTGTCTAAATCATTTTTAGTAGGTATAAAAAGTCACCTCATTTTTTCCACACTTTCCACCAATTTCATAAATTTTGCATTTAATTATGAGTAAATATTGACTCGTATTGTGCTATTTTATTTTGTCATGATAAGAATGTGTTCTGAGTTGCATATGAAGATAATCTATGACAAACTCCTAAATATATTTTCCCTTTTTATACAAAGTTGTAATATAAAAAAATACAAATTTATACTATATAACTCTGATTAATTAATATATACCAAGTATCTGTTTAAATCTGAAATCAGTTTTCCAGAGTGCTCTTGGTAAAGGTTTTAAAATATCAAACTAGAATGAACCATGGAATGTTAGCCAGAAGCCTGCTTTTCATATAAGTTAAATGTTTTCAAACATGTAATCACCCACATTATCCTAGGTGTTAAAGTTCATCTCCATATAGTATCAGGAACTTAGCCACATAAACATGTTATTCTTACACTGTGAAGGAAGAAAATTGGGTAAATAAAACAACACTAAGATAATTCAGTGCCTTTCTCACATTTACCATTTAAAAATTTTGAACATTTGCATTAGATGACATTGAAAAATAATAGAGGAATATTTTGGTCATATGCTAGAGCTGGCTTGTACTGTTGCGTGAGTTGGTTGTTTACATCTCTTCCCACATCTCTGTTCGATGACAGCATGTAGGTAGCTTAAAATAACCATTGGGTATTTACTCCAGGGAAATCACAAACCTCTGTAGACTAGGGCTTTCCTGGCCAAAAAGCCAGGACACAAAACTCTTTACCAAGACTACCATTTGGTTTGAATACACATTAGCACTTAAAAAAATTTTGATGTTAAAAAGCCCTAATTATTTGACTGCACTGCAGAACCAAACATGCATGCTAATCTTTTAAAGCGAGGTCCCAACTCGTTAAGGTAATCATAGCCTTCATCCTGATCAGAGACTGCTGATTCTAAGGAGCTCAGGGATCCAGCTAATGACCCTGTTCCCTCAAAAGCGTAAGTCTGGAGGGAATCAAAAGGAGGAGCGCACGGATCAGTATTAGCTTCTTCGAGCTTTTCCAGAATGAACTTCCTGAATATGGCACTGTCGGGGCCAACTTGCAGAGACTGTCGGTACAGGCTCCTGATCTCCGCGCTGGTGCTTTTCCTAGTCTTGCGTTCCCGCATTATGGTGCCACTCCTCAGCTCTGCTATATCGAAGGCCTCTGTATCTTCTTCTCCACCCCCTTCATCATCATATCGGAATATATTCTCTCTGAAATCTTCACTTTTCTCAGGAAATAGAATCTGTTTCCTTCGTTGTTTTAAGCCCAAAGTCAAAAAAATAAACCCTGATGAAGAAAGCATATCAGAATATCAATAAACAGTAAAGAATATTATAAACTTTACAGTCTTTGCTCTCATTTCAAGCTCAAGATGAGTGCTTAAACTTCATGATTATAAGGCAAAAGGATACATTTGTTATTGAAAATTTGCCAAAGGGACTTGCAAAATGACAAAAGAAAGTAGCACGATTTTTCTGCCTGACGACTTAGAGACAAAGAAAACCACAAAACTATAGTGAACTATTTTAAATGATGAACAATTTAACATTCAAAATCTATTTTTCTCACATATTAAAATAGAATAAAGTACAATGATAAAAGTTTGCAACCTGAATGCATTTGTCAACTTTAGTGGCCAATGTTTCATATTAATAGTAGCTCAGAACAACATAAGTTTGATATTCCTTACTGAAGCAAAATTCCATGGCATAATTATTTTCTAAGTTAATATGTATTACCTACAAAGTATAGATCTGGCATTGTTCTAAAAGCTTTATATTTATTGGTTGATTTTTTTCTTGTGAAGGCCATTATGTTATTATTTCCGATTATAGATGAGAAAACTGAAGCACACAAATGTTAAATGACATCCCTAGAAAGACACAGTTAAGAGATACAATGAGATACTGCTCAGCCACCAACAGTGAAGTGCTGTCATTGACAGAAACATGGATGAACCTGCCAGACATCATATTAAGTAAAATAAGCTAGGCACAGAAAGACAAGCACTGCATGATCTCACTTATATGTGGAATCTAAAAAAGTTGATTTCATACAAGTAGAGGATACACTGGTAGGTACGAAGGCTTGGATAGGGGACAGGGGAGTGGAGGTGAAAAGAGGTTATTCAGTTGTTACGAAGTACAGTGGGAGAGGAGGAGTAAGTTCTGGTGTTCTAATACACCGTAGGGTGACTATAGCTAATAATAATTTATTTCAAAATAGGTAGAAGAGATAAATTTGAATGTTATCACCACAAAGTAAAGCTAAATGTTTTAAGTGATTAATATGCTAATTATGCTGACAAGCATTATACAATATGTACAGGTATTGAAACAATACACTGTACCCCATAAATATGTTCAATTTGTATCAATTATAAAGACAATACAAAAATAGGCAAAATTAGAAAGTTGGTTTAGAACCTGTGCTCTATGGTATCACATAAATTTCAGAAATTCCAAACTACCATGCATTTGAATCCTAACACGTTTGTCTAGAATTAATATTTATTATATAAGATAATTTTAACATCATGTAGAAACAGAAAAAATTCAGAACACTTTGTTTTAATTTTAAATAAAAATCTGTGTGTGGGGCGTGGGAGTGTGTGTGTATATGCGTGTGTGTCTTTGTATGTGGGTTTCAAGGACAACCAAGACCCAATCTAGGATCTTATGTAGCTGTTCAGAGTTTTACATGCAGGATTTGAAACAAGCATGAAGTCATGTTATGAATAGTATCACAAAGAGAAATATGTTAGTCATAAAATATTTATATAAAACTTGCATTTAAAATATCCAAAACAGTGTTCCTTAAGTAAATAAGGTCACCATGTTTGCATTCAGGCATTGTGCTTTAGAATTTGCATGATATATATGGTTGAAATACAAAGGAGTCCAATAAATACTTTTCTATCTGAATTAGAGATAAATATTTACAGAATTGCAAAGGAAATCATTATTATAATAGTTGACCCATAACTCCCACCTGTTAAATTTTACCCACATTTTTAACTGGGAAGCTGTCCCTTGTTTGTGGGTTTTCCGGGCTTGGTTTAAGTCTGTAACTATAGGTAGCTCAGTATTTGTAGTTCCCCCAAATTATGTTTTTACTACTGATCTTTGCTTCTGGCATCTAGCTATGAAGCTATGAATTCAATTTTATAATCAAAGATCATTAAAAGTAATTTTAAAAACTGAATCTAGGTCCAAAACAAGCATAATGGTAGGAGGTAAGTGAGGAATGGATGGGGTTTGAAGCCTTGAGAAAGAAAAGTTGAGTGAAGACAAGGCAGGTCCTGAAACATATCCCATGCTAGTTTGAGTGGTCAGTTTGGCATTTCAGAAACAGTGGCTGATACATTTGCTCTCACTATTCAATGTAGTTTCACTGGCTTTTGGTTTGAAGTTTTGAGGGAGGCAAGAGCAGAGTTTAGATTATATATTTTGGTGTTAAAAAAAGGAAAAGTTTATGCTAGATAAATATTTATAGTCCTGAAAGCCCGATTAAAACCTTTTGGAGTTCAGCTGCCTCATCTTTGAAATGAATATAAATTATCTGCTTATAAAAACAATTATAGCAGTGGAATAAAACAAGCAAACAAAAATTAATAGAGCTCTTTTACTGGGATTTCTTTCTGTTTAGTACTTTGACTTAAAAAGGCATTCTCTTTTACCTGCCTCATGTCTAACATTTACTGTTCTTTCTATTCACAAAAAGATTTAGAATTATTTTTAGTTTTAATTGACAAAAACATATATATTGATAGTATACAATGTGGTATTTGATATATGTAAACATTGTGGAATGATTAAATCAATTTAATATATTCATCACCTTACATACTGATAAATAAAATTGTTGAAGAGATATCCACACTTCCGTGTCCTTTACAACATTATTCACAATAGCCAAGATATGGAATGGATGGAACCTAAGTTTCCATCAGTGAATGAGTGGATAAGGAAAATGTAGCATATAGACACAATGAATGCTATTTAGCCTTAAGCAAGAAAGAAGTTCTGACATTTGCAACAACATAGATAAAACTAGATAACATTATACTAAGTGAAAGAAGCCAGGCACAGAAAGACAAACACTGCAAGACCTCAGGTTGTGAAATCTAAAACAACAACAAAACTGCGTACAAGTAGAGAGTAGAACAGTACCAGCAGGATAGAGGGTAAGAGAATGAAGAGACGTTGGTCAAAGGACACAAAATTTCAGTTAGACATTAAAAATAAATTCAAGAGATCTATTTTACGGCATGGTAACTATAGTTAATAATAATGGATTTTATATTTGAAAATTGCTAAGATAGTAGATTTTACTGTGCTTTATATTTTTTTAATGCACCTTGGGCGCAATCAGTTGCAGTACAATGTTGCATAACAGTGTGTTGTGGTCATGGAATCTTAGCACATAATTTGCCAGCTTCATGACCGTTCATAAAGCGCATAGCTTCTTGAGTTTCTATTTCTTAATCTATAAAATGTAGGTGATAATAGTTACTACTTTAAGGTTATTGTGAGGATCAAATTGCATAGTGCATATAAAACACTGAAGAGCCTCTCCTGGAGTATAATAAGACTCAAGATAAGCTCTCCATTATTATTACTAATTTTTATTATTTTATATTGTTACATTATATATTGTTACATATATGTGTCAAGAACATGCATAAACAGATGTGTACACACACACACTCACATCCTCATACAATTCAAAGATCACTGATTTGCAGCTTACGTATATTTATCCACTATTTACTACAGTTGGTTTAGGAATTGTACTACATTCAGAGAAGCAATAAACATACATACAAACCCACATTCTAATGCTGTAATAGAATTTACTATTTTATATATTCATCAGGTTATTTTAAACAAATGAGTATATGTTCAGTTCAGCACTACCTACCAAATATTATCATAATGCAAATGAGAACAGCAATTATGACTTCTGTCTTGAATCCCATGGAAAGCATAAGTTCCTGGTACTGGCAGGTCTGTGTGCTCCCAGTGTCATCACAGTCACAGACATGGACAGTAAGGGTGTTTGTACTTGTAAGCGACGGGGTTCCATTGTCGGCAATTAAGATGGAGATGTAGAAGACAGGCTCTCCTTGTAGGTTAAAACCAGTTCTATTAGTCAAAATGACAGCTGTGTTATCTAAAACAAAAATCCATGTGCGTAATTTTTTCAACTACATAAGGGAAATTTGTATGTAATTGTCACATATAGTCAAGACAATAGTATAGAGACATGTTGGAGTAAGTTCAAAGAAAAGGATGGGAAATTTCTAATGAGAAGACAACTAAAACATCCACACTAAATTATTAGTGTTTTGACATTACATAAACCCTAACTATGTAATCAGATGAATCATCCAAATTATGTAGTAAAATTACTATTAAATGTTAAATATTTAATTAATATTACTTGTTTAATTATTTAAGTATTTATATTATTATTGAATTACTTAAATCAGTTCTAAAATGTCTTTGACAAATATATAAAACCTATGTGTAACACAGAAAACAGCTTTTTAATCAGATATCTATAATTTATAGGGACTACCAATATTAAATGTATGCTGATAGGGCTGACTTCATTTGTATTAATTACACATGACACAGTTTATTTTCTAATACTTGGGACCCATTATTTATACAAATCCAGGAAATATACAAGATATTTAAAGTTATCTATCAAAGCACATGATCTGAAATAATACATTTTCTAGTTAAACACAATAATTTCACTTGGTAGACAATATCCTGTTAGAATATTTCATATCATTTTGATGTTATTAATCTATTTTGTATTTAAAATTCTGAAATCATTACACTTAGTCAGACTGATTCATTTACCTAGAGAGTCTATTCAAAAGATTCATGAAAACAAACAATAAACACTTCAACACATGTACAATTACTCTTCTGTGAATCCCAGAATATCATAAATGACTTTTTTTGTTGTAATTTTGTGTGCCTCAGAACTGTACTTTCTCTTTACTTTTTTTTTTTTTGCCATGCCTCAAAATATTTTCTGTCATGATCAGACAAACTTTAGAAGACAATGGCAATAAATGAAAAATAAATAAAAGCCTTTTGAAATGCATGCTTAAGTAGGACATTTCCCAAATCATTTTTTTAAAGACATTTCACTATCAGGCTCTGAAAATTTATAAAGCCCATGTGATTTTATTTGCTAGGCAGATCTAAGAGGTGAGAGACAGTTGACGCTTTTTAAATATGTATTTTATTAAATTACTTGTGACCACAAACATTAAAACAAATCAATTTTGTATGCTTCAATGTATTTATTTTGCCTCAGTAATTTATTTTATATTAATATAAATGAATCTTAGCTGGAGTTTTAAAATATAGTATATATGTCTTACATATGTATGTATGTTTACATATATGTTTTTAAAAACTCCAGTTTAGATTTATTTATATTAATATATGTATTTAAAAATATAATTTTTAAAAATATATTTTTTTCAAACAATACATATATATATATTTTAAAAAATACATGTAACCTCTGAATCTGAGCATTTTTACATGGCTAAATTTTGTGAAAAGCAGTTTGGAAATTTCTCAAAGAGCTTGAAACAGATAATTGTGACTTTTGTCTGAAATATTTTTGAGTTTCCTTCCCAGGGGTATTTGAAAGGGGAAAAAAGACAGAAATGTGTTGCATTTACTCTCACATGAAAGATCTCTTCTGGAACAAATCTTAACCTCAGTTGTAAGGAGCACTGCAGGTATTTGGTTACTGATACTTGAGTAATATCCAACTGTGTTTCATAACTTTGAGGTATAAATAAATTAAAATAGAAGTCCTGGCCGGGCGCGGTGGCTCAATCCTGTAATCCCAGCACTTTGGGAGGCCAAGATGGGTGGATCACGAGGTCAAGAAATCGAGACCATCCTGGTCAACATGGTGAAACCCCGTCTCTACTAAAACTACAAAAAATCAGCTGGGCCTGGTGGCGCGTGCCTGTAATCCCAGCTACTCAGGAGGCTGAGGCAGGAGAATTGCCCGAACCCAGGAGGCGGAGGTTGCGGTGAGCCGAGGTCGCGCCATTGCACTCCAGCCTGGGTAACAAGAGTGAAACTCTGTCTCAAAAAAAAATAAATAAATAAAAATAAAAGTCCTTATTATGACAAAAATGTTTCTTACTGAAGCTAATGAAAAAAAAAACACACAAAAAAACCAGAGTGGTTTCATATAAAGTTAATCCATCTCTACAAAAAGATAAAATAAACTCTGCTCTTACATAATATTCTTTGGAATATTTTATTCTTAAATTGATAAAAATTATTTAGTTTTGAAGGAATAAGAACTGTCTTAATCCAATTTCATATATTCTAAGCTCCTAATTAATAACCCTACATATTTTTGAATGAATCACGCTAACATGGCTGCAACTAAGAGAAATATCATTTTCTTCGTCAGTCATAGATTGAGGTCTCAGTTAGACGAGAATATGAAAGGAGCCTTGGTGTCAAAACTGCAATTATATTTTCAGGGTCATTCTGACTTTACAAGAGCTTACAGCCATTGAAAATTTTAAAAGCTCCTTCTACTTTGAAGAAATGCAGTGAGAAATGGGGCCAATATTTTAGAACTTAATATTGGATTTTGTTTTCCATTTTCATTGTTACTCTTTTGCTTGATTTCAAAACATTATTATGTTGCAAGAACAGTATAAAAATCAATGCAATAAGTTCCTCTGAAGTCAAACATGAGTCAAAAAACTATATCAAAACTCATTATGAGCAAATGACATTACCTTGATTATCTATGATTGTAAAACTTGAATTGTTAGTGTCTTCTACCGATAGATTATAGTAAAAATGGTGCTCTTCTATGGATTCATCTCTATCCACTGCACTGATAGTCTGAATTACCTAAAAAAAAAAAAAAAAAAAAAAAAGATAGATTTTTGTTGTTGTTCGGATTCAGGAAGAAGGTAACCGCCTTTATTATTATTAGCTTTTATTTGCATTGCTTTATCTCAATCAATAGGGACACTGCAGGAAATTACTGCCAAATATTGGAGAACATTAAAATATTTTCTCAGGCTAAAAGTATGTTCACTTGCCTCTTAGGGTGTTATAATATTACATAATAAACAAATTCTTGTTGATGGATCAGCTGATTTCCAAAAAGTACATTTGTTAGAAGTTGTCAAAGCATTGCTTCTGTATTATTCACACCCTCCCTGCCTACATTTCTTTCTTCCTCCTTTACTTTTTCTTTAACTGAATGTCAGACATTATGATTTGCTAAAGTTGTGTATTTCCTCTTTTTACTGAGAGCAAAACTGTGGTTGAGTTATCAGCTTACTAAACTCTTTGCTAAAGTAATGAGATTTTTAATTGATTTGAGGAAATAACACATTTAAAATGTAGGGGCAGAATACATAATTTCCTTTGACCCATAATGATTATAGGAAAGTGTTTCACATCAAATAAGCTCATCTCTATATCTCAGATAATAAAACAGTGAAGTAATGCAGATATGAACAAATCCATTCTCAATTTTCTTCTTTCAAGACATGAATGTGTCAGTCAAATAGTTTATTATTGTTGAAAAAGATATGCTGTCAAGATCACATAGTGAGATTGTGATTAATTCTGGAAATTAAAGTAAATTGATTGTAGAAGTTATTGTTTTGAATTTTCCAGAATTAAAGTGCTTTTAACAATATGTCAAACAAAAATAGACTCAGATGCAAGATGACAAACCCAGATTTATGTTATACTTCAAAAAAATAGATTATGTCTACAGGAGCATAAAGAACATTAGGAAACTAATATGATCTGTATATTACTTTTTTAGATTGATTTATTTTTAACTCACAACACATTACTAATAAAATAATATTCATTTAGTGTTAATTAAGTAATCTAACAAAATATATTTTATTCAATCCATGCTTATAATTATACATGTGGATATTGATTTGTATTAAGGTAAAGCCTTTATTTTAGAATATCATAGAATTTTATAAAGGCTGGATAAAGGGCGGGGGCTTGGAAACCTAATATTCTGAATCCGGGCTTTGCCACTTACATGCTTTTAACCTTGAAAAAAATATATTAATACTTAATCTGCAGGGCTTATTTTCAGGATTATAGGCCTCAGGTTCTCAAAGAGTTTGTCACATGACAAACTATTATGTGTTTCTATGTCTATTATGTATTCTTCATGAAAAAATTCTCTTATTGAGTTTTTGCACACCATGGTGTCCTGAATATTGTTAGTAATATGCGTATGAATATCTTTATAAGCATATTTGCTGAAGTAAGATTGATATCAAAGTGTAGAATTTCTGTTTATCTTGCTGGCGTATGTGGTTACAGTGTTCGGATAAGGAATATTTTATTTTACTGCTTGACGTTCTGTATCAAACATGCGCATCTGACTAAATGTTGCAAATGTCTCCTTTTGGGGAATGAAGGCTTAAGAAGACTAGAGGTACACTGTATGTATTTCAAAACACTTTTAATGAATCACAATACCTTATACATAAGTACGTACAGGAAACTGAATGAGCAGGGCTTCAACAGTCTGCCCCCTTTTTAATGAACATGTCTCCACTTATATTTGCTCTGTAAGTTGGGCTTCCAATAAGATATGTTTCACCAGCTTTTATAATTGTTTTATAAAAATAGGAAGCCACTCACATAGTATCAGTCATATATCAAATATTATGAATTTTGTTGAATTTATCTTAAACAGATACATTTACAAATAAATGCATATTTCTAATAAAGGGACTACATTAATGTACTCATAAATCTTGATGGAGGATATTCATTTTTTTCTTTAAATATAACAATGAAAAGATTTTAATTTTAATTTTAATTAAAATTCTAAGAAAAACATTTATTTGTTGCATTGGTTGCTGTTTACTTACACGTCTTTATCTGGGACCTATCGCTGACCTTACAAATTTATGAAAGGGATAAAGATAAATTAAAAGGTAAAAGTATATACCAAGAACAGCCATGGCTTTAGAGATTGGGAAAAGAGGAAATGAAAATAACTCCAAATTATGACAAATTCTGAAAGCTCAGATTTTTAATTATCTTTTTGTTCTCTTGGTAAAATTTTGCCCAATTTATTTCTGACATGATACATTCAGTTCTCTATATACGGTGCATTGAAAGGTATAATAGAAATATATTGTGTAAGTGCCAAGAATCAAAAACTAACTACAATTTAACAAGAACTTACCTATGGACCAGGTTCTGTTCTATGCATTACCTTAGATAATCTTCACAATGGTCCTTTAAAATAAACCCTCTTATTGTTCCCATGTTATAAATGTTCATATTAAGTTTCATATATGCTAAGTGTCTTAGGTACGTAAATTGGCTGGGCCAGAATTAGAATGTAAGCTGATGTCATAGGCAATGTGAAATATGAGTAGTAAGTGTAATCTTCTAGAACATTTTGTTCATGCCCTAGACCTGTTCTTGTCCTACCAGATTTGCATACAAAATGGTTTTGTAAAAAGTATGGAATTTCAAAAGCAAGTAAAAACATATCTCATGAAAGATAATGACAGGGAAGTAAGTAATATAATTTTATAAAGACCAAAATAATGGTTAAAAATAGAAGAAAATAATATGTTTTGATATGGGAGAAAGGGGAGATTTTCTAGGGTAAGAGTACAGCCAATGAGCTAATACTTGAATAAACATATGAATCGGTGAAAAAAGTGTGATCCTAAGCAAAGAATACCATGAAAACTTCATGAAGGAAAAGAGAGCATACATTAGGTAGAAATATATGAAATTAATATTTTGTAAGTCAAAGATGGTCAACTATTGGAAGTTTCATAAGTTTCAATTTAGTTATTTTATGAGATTATAATCATGATTTGACTTGAAAGATAATCAGGAGAATAAAGATAGTCATTTGCCTGCTATTAATCATTATGCACTGTATCTTCTTAAGTAAAAGAAACTGCACATGGGCCAGCTTACTAAAATATCATTCCACATTAATTATCCTGAGTCAAAATTAAGCCCAACACTCACATTGACATTCGTCAAACCAAAAATATGGTCCTTATTAAACATGCAATTGACGGACAGTTAGTTTAAGTTGCAACTCTCATACACAATGATTTGCAGCAAGCAATACATTTGTCTGTTTCCTTACCTTCATGGTAGGTCACAATGAAACCCACTTCTAGAATTAGTCAATTAATAAATTGTTGAATAAGAAGATAAACTATAAATTGCATCAAGAGCTTTAAATCAGTATGCAAATACCGAGTATTAATTTATATACATTATCAATTCCTTGAAATGCACTTAATAAAGAATGCATCTCAATATAAAAATGTTAAACAAAAAGTTACAGTTGCAATAAATGAATACCTGGAAAGCTTTTCTTAAAGATCTTATTTGAGTTGCTTATTTAGTTATTCTAGTTAGGTATATGTGGTATCATGCTAAAGATGCAAATTGTCTCCCATTGCCAAGAAATTATTATCCAAAAATATGTATGAGACCATCACTTTTTATACTACTCTAGTGAATAAATGATTTTAAATTACAAATTTTGCCAAAATAAATCCATAAAACTAAAAATATTGTTGAACATCTGTTCAGAGACAAAGTGCAAAATAATAAACTAATAGAATTAGAACCAACAAGAAAATCTAGATTGTAGTATGCTTGTTTTCTTTCTTTCTTTAGCAAAATATTAGAAGAAAGATTTGAAAAGCTCATTATAGCATAATATCTTAGACCTGAATAGGACTGGGACACTCTAAGTTTTCTAAAAGGACTTTTCACAAAGTTGCATTATATATATTAAAATGCCATTATATATATTAAAATTTTTACATGAAGACAAGGTAAATGTCTTTAATTAGACAAAATATTAGTATGAGCAAATCTGAAAATTATCGATATTATACTTTACCTCCAAAAAAGACATTTAGTCAGGATAATGGCACTCATTGATTTGAAAAATGATAACTATTTGCACCAAATAGGAAAGGCAAATTACCCTGATGTCAGCTCATTTATTATATTAATATTTTGCAAATTGCTGAAAGTTCTCTCCTTCTTCTCTTCCCCACCTCAGCCACTTACACATTAAGAACAAAACCCAAAATTCTGTTTACCCACATAGGTCTTTGAGTTAACATTTGATTTCCTCCAGAGTAGGGTGTGACTAATCTGGAATTTTTATTTTCTATGATTAATTTATTATCTATCCAAAGAAGATAGATATAAAACATGTTTTAACCTGTAATTTTCCCTAGCTGTTTGAGCCTGTGGAGAATCATCTTCATAAAATAAAAATATGTATAAAATATTAAATATTCTGTTAATGATTTTAATTATATGTGAAAATGATATTTTGAATATATTTTATACAATAAACATTATTAAAATTAACTTTATCTGGGTGCTTTTTATGTTTTTAAATGAAGCTACAAGAAAATTTAAAATTGTATCATTTATTTAGAAGCATTGCATTACATAATCTTATATTTCCAAATAATTGTTCTTCTTTTAAGTAACTTTATGTGTACTTTATATGTTGTATGAAATTCAGCTTCAGAACTCCAAGAAATAATAGTGTAAGAGAGGGCATTGATTTCTAATTATTGTTTTAAATTTAATAACCCATCAGCTTCAATATTACATAAAGTTTTGATTATTGATTGAGGACTGTAATATTTTATTATTATGTATTATGTGTACCTTTTGACTTTTTATATTTATTACCCAGAATTTAGGTTTAATTTTATCTAAGGGCTTCTTAGTATCAAATGAAAAGTTTGTGCATATAATTTTTATGTGCATCATTTAGTTCCTTTGACTTGATATGTAAAATATTTATAGATTTCAAAGCATTTTATCTTGTTAAATTT